ACTTTTCATGTTCATACTTTTCAGTTGGCCAACATTTCTATAAATCCTTTGTTTTTGGTCTTCAGTAATATTCTAATTTTCTGATATGATGAATTTGAGATTTTCATTTGTTGTCATTTGTAATCATCAAAATTAAACAAAATAAACATCTGAAATATATGAGTTTGTATGTAATGTATGAATATAATATACAAGTTTCACTTTTTAAATGGAATTACTGAAATCAATCTACTTTTTCATGATATTCTAATTTTATGACCAGCACCTGTAGATCTGATTAAAACCCCATTCATGCCGCTCCTCAGAAAGAAAATAAAAAAAGTTCTCCCCGCTGCTCACCGTCCACAAACCCCGACAAAAAACTCAGAAAAAAGAATCTGTTGCCTCTCGCTTTCTCCCCATCACCCCCCTCCGCCCTCTCCCCATAACACCTGTGGCTTCCCTCCAATAATGCTAACCCATTCAAAGACAGCAGTGGACTCGGACTTGCAGGTGAGAGGGACTTGTGGAAATATTAAGACCTAATTTTAGTCAGGAGAGACTTAAAGTAGTAAAAGAATAGAGAATAGTGTAAAAATAAGTTAATACCGTATTTAAAATATAACTGAACCGTTGGAAAAAAAAACTCAAACCACTTTTTTCCGGCCCTGTTATGTCAGCTATACATTAGAGTCCTGCAACGGGCCGGGTACCCGCGAAAAATACATAAATAAAAATAAACGGGTCGGGCGGATATTTTTTTAGTGCGGGCGGGTAGTTGGTGATTTTTTTTATGCGTGTGTGTTGTTATGGACATCAGAAATGTTATATTAATCAGGCACTGGGTGCAGCGATGCGTATAATAGCCTTTGATGTGTTAACGGGACGGGTTGCGGGTTAAATATCAACGGGTCGGGTTCGGATTTGAATTGAAGATATCCGCGGGTGACGGGTCGGGTTCGGTAGTCATCCTAACGGGTTCGGGCGGGTGCCGGTTGGTAAAACTCGACCCGTGCAGGTCTCTAAGCTACACTACATTCAGTATCGTTGCCATAGAAACAGACAACAGCGCCAATATATCAGAATTATACTAAAACACACGCAAATAATTTCCCACATAAAAAACAGGACTTTCAGTCCATTACAGTTTTCCGTTTTTAGAGGGTTGTTTATTTTGCGTTTATTAAGCGATGGCTGTGGTATATTAGCTTTCACTGCTATAAGCTTTCGCAGCAGTGATTGATTAATTTAAACACCTGCTCTACTGATGGTCTATCGGAGTTGGTGTTTAGGTTGAACATAAAGAACAACTTTTATTTGAAGCTTCTTGTAGCTACTGTTTTAATCCCGGCTTTACTTAAAACTTTTTCCTGACCTTGATAGTGTTGCCATTCAGTAGCAAGCACTGCACCCCTTTTTCTTTTATATGTACACGTACATTTAAGATTTAGCGTGTTAAGTTGACAACTCATGAGCAAGCTGCTTTTTGCAATCTAGCAGGAAGGTAAGGATAGGATCTTGCAGGTGTGACGTCACTCTGCAGGGGGTCCAAAGATAAAAGATTTAAACAATTTTGGCATTGGAATTTCAGATTTAAGGGAGTTAGAAAGTTCACTTAGTAAAAGTGCAAATAATAAATCTGATTACCGATTACTTTTAAGCTGGTTGAACATACTGCGACAGACTGGTGACCTGTCCAGGGTGATCCCACCTCTCACCCAGAACGTGGCTAGAGATATGCACCAGCACCTCCTGATCCCACTGAGGGATAAGGTTAAAGAAAATGGATGGTTGAACATAGTCCGCTCTCCCAGATTCTATCAAATCAGTATTGATACCCTCAGGGGCGGATTTAGGAAATTTGGGGCCCTAGGCAAAGACAGGCAGGGGGCCCCCTGAGAAGAAAACCCATAAAACAGACCCATTCTACAGATAGAGAAATGTTAATAGAATAGACATCCATTATTTGTTCTAGGTTTTGTCCCTCTCTTCTTGTCCCTTTTTCCTCTCTATTTATCAGCGTTCTGATGGCATTTTAGCCAAAGGATTTTTATCAAAAACATAATTAATGTGCACAAATAAGGATTAGTTGTATTAACCATACATGGAAACAGAGTTTTATGGGGCCCCCAGGAACTTGGGGCCCTAGGAAACTGCCTAGTATTGCCTAATGGTAAATCCCCCCCTGGATACCCTGCTGGTGGATGTTCTTGACAGAAAGACGGAGTTGCTTAATCATATTCTGCTTAAGGCCCCATAAGATCTTGTCCGAGTCCTGGTTTAAAAGTAAATTAATTTTAAAAAGTGACCCAAAATTGACTGTCAATAAATGTTCTACAAAATTGATATATTTATTTGATTTCTTTGATTTGTACTGTCTGTTTAGATTTATGTGATATTTTTTGCACAAAATATATAAGTGAATATTGTAACAGTTATGTTTTCAACTGTAAGCATTAAATTGATAAATGTTATTCGCATTTTTTTGGCTTTATCCTTTCCAACAAAAAAAAAAGGCGTCGCGCACGTAGCTCCCTTTCCTTATAAGCCGTCCCCACCAACTTTCAACACAAAGTTACACCCTTGCGCAGAACCAATTAGACCAGGCATCCCCAAATTCGGTCCTCGAGGGCCGCTGTCCTGCAAGTTTTAGAGATTTCCTTGCTCCAGCACAGCTGATTTTAATTAAAAGCTGATTAACAGGCTTCTGCTCTACTGCATTCATGATAATCAGCTGTGCTAAAGCAAGGAAACCCTTAAAACCTGCGGGACAGCGGCCCTCGAGGACCGAGTTGGGGATGCCTGAATTAGACAGTTGAGCAAGGAGCAAAGGAAAAAACCAAACCATCAGCGCCAAGATCATGACAATTATGTGTTCTTTATAGAAGTTAAACTAATTTACATCTAAAATAGGCAACAAAAAATAAAAAAATTTTATTGACCCCCAGATACTTCATAATTCAGTTTTCCTCTGCAACTAATGCTCTGCTGTCATAAAAGAGAAGCTATTGCAAAAATGTCTGAAAATAACTGCAGATGGGTTTAATGTTGTAGAGAGGTTTGATCATTTCCAGCTTTAATAGTCTAAATACCTGAATAAGTTTTAAGATCTGTGATTAATGGTGAATTGTAGGGTTGAAACAATCATATTAATCGTGAATAATCGATTATTGAAATAATAAACTATTTAGTAATCGATCAATTGTTAACTGGAGTAGAGAGACTGTAAAATGTGCCTTTAGCTGACAGTGAGGCCCACTTAGAGCAGCAATTATACCAAGATCGTAAAAAAATGCAGTAGAATTTTGCATTTATAAAGGAAAAAAACGTTTTCGTCTGTCAACATGCTCTGTCAGAATTGTGCAACGTTTTAGTTTCCCCTGGTTTATTTCGTAAAAAAAAAAAAAAAAAATCGTCTTTAAGGAACCTTTGGCTATCTGATTATGAATCGACTGGTCCAAAAAAATTATTGACAGAATAACCAATTTGCAAAATAATCTTTAGTTGCAGCCCTAGTGATTTGTCTCAATCCATCAGGATCTTTTTAAAGATATAAAGATTATGCACTAGTGACAACTAAATGCTGCTGCTTGTGTGTTTTAGTTATTCTTAAAATGATACACAGTAATCTTTAAGTAAATCTAGGCTCCCTTTAGCTTTAAATGTCCTGTATATAGTATGTTTATTTGAAATGGGTACATTTTTCACCAAGGTTTTGTAAATAGAAATCTAATTTGTTTTTTAAACCTGGTTAAGTTACACTATATTAGAGAAAGTATTTACTTTGTCAGTAAAGTTTTTCTAAATCTGTGCAAAAGTGCTTTCATATCCATACATTCATGCATACCTGCTGAATCCTGTTTAAGGTCGGTAGACACAATCTCCAATCAACAGCTGAGGTGAGGTTTACATGGAAACCAGGACGGTTCTCTGTGATCTTAAAAATCAGGCAGAGAGGGTAGGCGTTAACCATGCAAAGAAAAAGTAATTGGTCACATATTTCTCGATGACTAGATATTTAAATAAAGGATTACATTAATAGAAAGTAATTAACTAATTCTAAAAGATATAATTAAGAGCTACATGCCTAAAATTTCAGGGTTAAAGCAAAAGCAAAAAGTAGAGTTTATTTTCACAGACAATGAATCAGCAGGTCCAGTCCAGTGCAGTTCTCGGTGTTTATTGAAATGGTTATGCTCCAGATCCTCGTCCTTTCTACGGATTTGGCACTGGGTTTGGTGCTCTTTGTTCCCTTCACAGAGGGAAAGGCTGTTACAGTTTAAAGGTTCCAACTGGTAATGACTTCACCAGTTGTTCTTGGCAGCACACTCAGTAATATGCAAGATAAGAATTAAGATAAGTCGATTATAGAATAACTTTGACATGGCAGGAAAAGGACGAAAATCTTTACACATAAAGGCTGCAAACGAGCCTTGAACCATTCTTTCTGTGAAGAACCACACCAGCATCATGATGCTAAACTGTTAGTTAAGATACAGGACCGTTCAAAAGTTAGGGGTCACATTGAAATGTCCTTATTTTTGAAGGAAAAGCACTGTACCTTTCAATGAAGATAACTTTAAACTAGTCTTAACTTTAAAGAAATACACTCTATACATTGCTAATGTGGTAAATGACTATTCTAGCTGCAAATGTCTGGTTTTTGGTGCAATATCTACATAGGTGTATAGAGGCCCATTTCTAGCAACTATCACTCCAGTGTTCTAATGGTACAATGTGTTTGCTCATTGGCTCAGAAGGCTCATTGATTATTAGAAAACCCTTGTGCAATCATGTTCACACAGCTGAAAACAGTTTAGCTCGTTACAGAAGCTAAAAAACTGACCTTCCTTTGAGCAGATTGAGTTTCTGGAGGATCACATTTGTCGGGTCAATTAAACGCTCAAAATGGCCAGAAAAAGAGAACTTTCATCTGAAACTCGACAGTAGAAAGTTCAGGTTCTCTTCAGTTCCAAAATGTTAGAAATCTTCTTGGTGGACTGTTTGACATTGTCTTCATGATGGCTCCTCCTGAAAATCCAACCCAAGGTGGGTAAGGCTAAGTTTCAAATTTAGAGGCCGAGACAATAAAAGCCTGCCTCCTAATCGATCAAAGCCCTTTGAAAAGGAAAACAACTTCAAAGATCAGGACTGCATGAACAACTTCTCCTTAATAAGTTGGACCAGAACATCTTTGCGAGCGATATCTCAGAATTTATACTGCTGTATATTTATACTTATACTATTGTACCTCCCACAGATAAAATCAGTTATATCCTGTTTAAATCTGACAATTTGAAACAATTTTTAATTCTTTTTGTTTTTTTTATTCAAATCTTCTCTAATAAATGCATGTTATGCAGCAGCTTCCTCCCCTGTTCTTCATCTTTTTCACCACGAGTGACATCTAGTTGTTAATAACGAGATGGAAAACTATTTTCCATTGTGATTCTGAACTATTTTTAAAACGACTGAAAAAACCACCTCATCCTTTTTCATTTAAAATCATTTATTAATGGCCGCGTTCCTATTAATTGTTTTACTTTAGGAGTGACAATTAGATGGTCAATTGAAGCAAAACTAAAGGCTCGTTCAGATTTTAAGAGACGATCAAGTTAAAGAGATAACAGAAAAGTTGCTTTTCTTTATTCTTTTGAGCTCTTTATCTCTATGTATCAGGAAATATCATGGTTTTGAAATTAAGGTCTACATCCATTATGCAGATGGCAGCTAATGTTCTACTGTTGAGGAGTGTATCATTTAGTATCAGAATCTACAGCAGTTTTATATGACAATGACATTTTTGTATTTGGCTGCAAAAATCTGATTGGTCCATTTTTATCCATTCCTGCTATAACATGTAATTAGAGAAGGTATTATGATGAACCTACTTAGAACGAATTAAAGTTTAATAAATTGCGTTGTTATTTTCCCTAGGAGAAGGGCCGTTCCCTGCTCTTCTGGATCTGTATACGTTTGGTGGAGGTCTGTCGGAGAAAAGAGCGGCTCTGCTGGCCAGCCGAGGATTTCTGGTCCTGACTGTGGCTCTGTACGGCCACGATGACATGCCCAGGAACATTAAAGAAGTTATTTTGAAGAAACACTTAACTTTTTAAAAAAAAACATAAGAAGGTGAGTCATTAAAATACTCAAACTTGGATTCCTAAGACTCTTTACACTGCAATTAAATCTAAATAAGTAATTCTTTCTTAAAATAAGTTTGCATTGTCTTATTTCAAGTGCATATTCTCAGAGTTTAATTGTAAAAATACCCCTTCAATTGGTAAATCATCTTCTTTACTTATGTAAATTAAGGGTAAATACATTTAATTTAGGAAATGTTGACTTATTTCTAGATTGTTTTTGCAGTGTGTTGCATCTAGATGATTTTAAAATATTGCATTACTGGAAATATTCAAAGTATTTTACGTTGACCTTGCCTGTTTTTCCCTCAGGCGGACAGTAAAGGAGTTGGTGTTTTATCCCTTTCTAAAAGGGGAGATCTTGCTCTGTCAATAGCATCTTACCAGTGGCGGATCTAGGGGGTGGCTACTTGGGCTGCAGCCCCCGATGTTTCCCCAAGAGCCCCGGATCTCGCTTCTGAGCTGATCAGAGTAAAATGTGCAGTACTGGAATTCACCAGAGAGTGGCAGCATGTGCAGGAAAGCAGCCTGTAGCATTCCTGTGTAGAAGAACTCCCCACTAGCTGTTGCTAAACAGACTGATGTCCCAGGTAGAGTCCTGCACGGGTCGAGTTTTACCAACCCGCACCCGCCCGAACCCGTTAGGATGACTACCGAACCGACCCGTCACCCGCGGATGTCTTCAATTCAAATCCGAACCCGACCCGTTGATATTTAACCCGCAACCCGACCCGTTAACACATCAAGTAATAGGCTATAGTAGCAGAACAGCGCCATTAACACTGCAGCAGACGTGTATGCACTGACTGTGGCCTTTTTGGAGGGAAGCCCACACTGCCGGCAGGGCTTTAAGCTACAACGAGGGTGACCCCAGTGCCTGATTAATAGAACATTTCTGATGTCCATACCAACACACACGCATAAAAAAAAAAATCACCAACTACCCGCCCGCACTAAAAAAAATATCCGCCCGACCCCGACCCGTTTATTTTTATTTATGTATTTTTCACCCGCAAAAGACCATTTCAGCGGGTGACCCGTCGGGGACCCGCGGGTACCAGACCCGTCGCAGGACTCTAGTCCCAGGTATGTGAAGCTCTGACTAACTTCCAGACATTCTTTGTCCTGGAGTTGCATAAAATTCAGTTCCCCTTGTGTCGGGAGCGCGCATTGAAGCCAGAGAGGCGAACATGGCGGATGGGACCATTTTCATTCATGTCAATGTTGTAACATCCAGTTTAATCAGCAGCTGTTGTCTATAAAATTGTAAAATAAATAAATAGACGAGGTCCTTTTAAACTGTTTTTTGTTATTTTTTAAACGCCAAGAGAATCTGTCTTTTTCCAACTTCTGTCAGTTAAGCCTGACAGAAATAAAAGTCAGAAGTATTTATCATTTTTCACTCCTGATATAAGAGGACGGAAACTGGCTGATAGCAGGACACAAAAATTAAGATTTCCAGAAAAGATGAGAGAGTAGACTTTCTGGTAAATCCCGTTCTAATGTAAAATATGACAGATTACTGGATTAAAGAAATTTCTAGTATACTACATGCTATCAAACATAACATTTTTTGAGAATTTGGAAACAGTTGCTGTTTATTTCCTAAACATATGGGAGGAGGAGAGAAGAGAATGGATATTTCAGCTGCCTGGAATATTCCGTTCCTCCTCCATAACATGGGAAGGAATTAATTCACCTACAAATCTTTAACTGTGTTTATTCCTCTCATCATCAACAACAAATCCTGTGGATTTGGTGACATTAAATCATTATTTGCCAAAGTTATGAGAGGGAAATCGTATATTTTAGCCACCAGATATAATCCGTTTCCCCTTTGATGATCTTTATGAAATTTATTTTCTGTTTAAATGTTTATCTAAAAATTTACAAGTATATTTCAAAAGAAAAGTTCAAACCAAAACAGCTGGACTTTGTTTTCCAAGTTTGAAGATGTTTCGTTTTCCATCCGGAGAGCTTTCTCAATTCAAAATGTCTGAAGTAATGCTATTCCAGACATTTTGAATTGAGAATTGACATATTTTTATTAACTATTTAAGATTTCAAAATATAAAATAATAAATGTTTCAAACATAATACAGAAAAATAATAAAAGTTTCAAAATTCACAGGATTTGTTTAATTTTTCCGATGTTATGGGGGAGCAGATTATATCAGGTGGCTAAAATATATGATTTCCCCTTCATAAATTTGGCAAATAATGATCAAATGTCTCCACAGAGCTTGTTGTTGAAGAAAGAAATAAACACAGTTAAAGACTTGCAGGTAAATGAATTTCTTCCCATGTTATGGAGTTGGAATTGTTACATGTGATAGCATGTAGTATACTAGAAATTTCTTTAATCCAGTAATCTGTCATATTTTACATTAGAACGGGATTTAGCAGAAAGTCCACACGCTCATCTTCACCCTCGGGGCTAAGCCCCTGATCACCTAGAATCCTAGATCCTCCCCTGCATCTTACCTTACAGGAGTTAAAGCTGTCATCTGGATCAATGGCTGCTCCGCTAATACAGCCTTACCCCTGTACTACAAGAAAATACAGATTCTTCCAGCATTAATGTTTGACCCTAACAAAGTCATTTCCACCGAGTCAGGAGCCATTATCACCAAATATGCAATGCATGATCTTCTGGCAGAGGAAAACAAGGCAAGCCTGGTGCCCATCGAACGGGCGAGTGGACGTTTCCTTTTCTTAGCTTTAGAGGATGATCTCAACTGGGACAGCAAGGCCTACATGGACGACATGATGGAGAGGCTGATTCATCATGGGAAGGAGAACTTTGAGTATCTGAGCTATCCTGGAGCTGGACACTACTTGTAGCCCCCGTATGGACCGTATTGCCCCTCCAGCTTATATGGAGTTACAGGTAGACCTGTTCTGTGGGGGGGTGAGCCCAGGTCCCATGCTGCAGCTGAAGTCCACCTCTGGAAGAAGATCCAGGAGTTCTTCAGAACTCACTTACAGGGTGACACGCCTCAAACAAAATCCCAATTATAGCTTCTAACAGGAAAATCATAATTCTTTGGCCACCATTCATTCCTGCTAACTATGAAACTGTGAATTTGATCACACTTTTTTAAAATTATTTTCATATTTAGACAGGAGTGTTAAAAGGGGAATTTATTTCCTGTGAAGACGCTTAAATGTATTGTACAGGATTTTCTCAAATTTTTTAAATACAATTTTTTTCTTTTAACTTAAAAAAGTTCTCATGCGAGAGTGTGCACAAGCCCATTTCTCCTTGTGCACGCTCTGTTTAAAAGTTTCTGTTTTCATAGCTCATACCATCTTACTGTGTCCGAACGTCCGCCTTAACCCCTAAATCCTTCAATCACTATGTAGAGCGGAGACTTTTTAGTGAACTCAGATAAATGACCATTTGGACAGATGATCACTTCCCCATTGGTCCACCGCGCCATCTTTGTTATTAGTCGCTGCTGTTGGCTAGCGGCAGCCTATGGCGACAGTGGGCCGCTGTAACAGCTTATTCTTCCCTTACATTGCTGAATATAATAAGAGTTTAACTTTGGCCAGGGATGTTTTAGGGAAAAGGGGGAGATTGTTTGATTTGCATAAGATTTTTCTGCTGAAATTGGTCCTGCATTTATGGGTTTATCTTTGTTATTACCCTACAGGTCTACAGATTTAATGAGACACCACATTCGAGCTATGTTTTTTACCGTAATTGTGTCTTGCTAGAGCATCTTTTTTGATGTTTGGTATTATGAAATTGCTTGTCTCATGAAGTTGCTAGATATTGGTTTGGTTATTTTGAGATGACCTGGAAATTATATGTAGTGAATAAACTTAACTTGAATCAAACTTTGATGGTGCACTAAAGCTAATGTTCTGGTTTAAGAGATTCAATTCAGTTTATTTCTATAGCACCATTTCACAGCACATGTCATCTTTACAATTCAGCAGATCATCCAGTCAAATTGATTAAAAGTTTTCTATCTAAGGAAAACCAGTTAGATTTCTTTTTAATACAGTTGCAAAACTCACCCAGAGCCATAGCTCTGTTGAACCGTCCATTTCCATTCCACCTGCTCTTAGCAGCAATTATTTTATGGGATACTTTATAAATAAGATTGATCTTATTAAAATAAGATCATTAGCACTCTTCTATCTGCGATTGGTTTGTCTCTAGAGGGTGGGGCAGCATCTGAGGTAGCAATAGAATCTGAACTGGATTTAGACTACTTGATCCAGTGGAACTTTCAGAGTTAGTAAAACTATTGTCTTCATCTAGTACTTTAACATGTATGTTAGATCTTGTTCAAACCAGATTATTTAAGGAGGTAATCTCTTTGATCTCCTCCTCCATTTTAGATGTGATTAATCTATCTCTGTTACAGGGATATGTAATTAAACCTTTGCTTAAGAAACTGTCTCTTGACTCAGATGACTTAGTCAATTATAGACCTATATCCAATCTTCCTTTCTTGTCTAAAATTCTTGAGAAAGTATTTGCCAAACAAGTGTGCAATCACTTACACCATAATGAACTTTTTGAAGAGTTTCAGTCTGGCTTTAGAGCTCATCATAGCACTGAAACAGCTCTGGTGAAAGTTGCTAATGATATTTTCATGGCCTCAGATAATGGACTTGTATCTGTGCTCGTCCTGTTAGATCTCTGTGCTGTATTTGATGTAGTTGACCATAATATTCTTTTAGAAAGACTTGAATATTTTGTTGAAAATAAAGGTACAGCACTAAACTGGTTTAAATCTTATCTATCTAATTGATTTCAGTTTGTTCACATTAATGACAAATCTTCCTCATGCTCAAAGGTTACCTGTCTGTCACTTCATTTGGATGGGATTAAACAGATTTCAGATAATAATGTAAAAAAAATCTTGGTGTTGTTTTTGATCAGGACCTGTCATTTAAATCCCATATCAAAGAGGTTTCTAGAATTTCCTTCTTTCGTCTGAGGAATATTGCAAAAATTTGAAATCTCCTGTCTAGGGGTGATGCTGAGAACTAGTCCATGCATTTGTTACTTCGTGGCTGCACTATTGGAATTCTTTACTATCAGGAATTCCACAAACTTAAAGCTGAAGTCTGTAAGTTTTTAAAATCACTTTTTTGTCATATTGGCTAAAACTGTCCCTATGCCCAGACAGCAGTACATGTGATATGTAACCTGTGAAAAAAACTGCTTCAATTGGTCCCGCATACTGCCTGTATTTCAATCTGGAAAGAATAATTCGGGACGAGTCAAAACAACCAATCACAGCCAGAGGAGCGTCTGATGGAGTGTCAATCACAGCCCCCCCCCCCCCCCCCCCCCCGATACCCACCCCCCCACCCCCCACCGCTTCACCTGCCGCAGCGCCCGGCTGCTGCAGTCCGGAGGACGTGCGTGGAAGTCATGGCGGAGCGACAGCCACCAGCGAAAGAGAAACTGCCCTTACTGCCCCTGCCGACAACTGCTTACACGGCAAACTTCGGTATAACCAGCATCTTATATCTAGCTGCTTGGAGGTGAGTGTTATCGCTCTTACCGGTTCACACTCCATGCCGCGTACGCTGCTTGGACGCTCTGGTCGCATGCGGTAGCCGCGCAGATGTTGTGAGAGGGGTGGGGCTTGGAGGTGGGGCATGAGTGAAGCAGAGAGGGTGGGGGAGTGGCGTGAAACCTGTTTTTCTTCACATTTTCAGTCGAAGTCTGCTCTCTTCTCAATGTTACAGACTGCTGCTTTAAGTTAAAAGCCTTCAGCTGATCCAAAATGCTGCAGCCAGAGTTCTGATGAAAATTCAAAAGAGTGATCATATCTCTCCTATCCTGGCTTCTCTTCAATGGCTTCCTGTTAAATCCAGAACAAAATTTAAAATCCTCCTTCTCACATAATAAAGCCTTAAATGACCAAGCTCCATCTGATATCAAAGATCTGATTGTTCCTTATGTTCCTAACAGAGCACTTCGCTCTCAATCTGCAGGTTTAATAGTGGTTCCTTGTTAGGTTTAAACACCAAACACCTTATTCAGCAACCTGCACAAAGAATGACACAGAGAATTTAGTATATTTTACTTGCAAGGAGAGGGGATCAGAAACTGCATTCAGTTACAACTTCAAACCCACTCTGAAGCAGTATCTGCTCTCCAAGCCCTTTATTGAAGAAACGCCCTGATTACAATGTGGTTTCAACCGTA